GACTCCATCTTCATCACCTGGTGGATCTCCCGCGGCGAGCTTCCCCGCTTAACAACTAATTATGACACGTGGTGGTGATTGGTCGCCGCTTGGTGCGCCGTCTGAAGAGCCGGCCAAGCCGGTGTCACAGAGTGCAGGCCGTAACAATCAAAACGTCGCGCGCTGCGGCAGCGGGCGTGATATTGTCGCGTCTGTCTGCTTGTACCTGCATCCTTCTGTCGCGTTGAAGCATCCCTTGACGCATCTTCCCGCTAAGCCCCTGATGCTAGCCCGTCGCTAGCACTGCTAGGAAACCGGGCCAGCTGGCGGGTCTTCCTCCTTCTCGGCTTGGCAACCAGGCTAAAGCGAATCAGGTGCACGCCGTCGAGCAGCATGACTTCAGAGGGGGCCCGGATAACTCGCTGGCTGCAGTTGCAGGACACCGCTACACAACAAGGCCCGCTGCTTAGTCCGGGGAATGAATTTCCTCTGAGAACACTGCCCTCCCTGCCCTCCGCCAGCTCCCTCTCCGACCTGGCTTCGGATGACGGCCACAGAGTCTCGCACCGCACCAACATTGCGAAACTCATCCACCCGCCCACCCCTACCATGACGGATGAGCATACGGCCGCTCGCAGACGTTCCTCCTCGCTCGCCGGCGCCACCCTGCCCACCAAAACAGACCTGAAGAAACACCGACGCCGCCGTTCCGACCACATTGCCGAAGAAGGAGAGGAGTCCTCCTCGGGTGCAGACCGCTCCGACTCAGAGTCCAGTGACAGCGCCGACGACGACGACATGAGCGCCGACGGGCTTGAAGACGACGAGGAGACGGGCCTCACCAAGCGCGACAGACGGAGACGCCGGAGAAGAAAGAGGCGGAACACGCTGCTCGACCAGCGCATCGTGCCGGATGATACATACACAAAGGAGGAGAAGAAGCTCGCCGACCAGAACTTGCTCAAATCGATGCTAGTCAATGGCGTTCTGATATGTCTATGGTAGGACGTTAATAGGAGTACGGTTGACACGCGCTGACAGACCCAGGTACCTCTTCTCGATATCGATATCCGTCTACAACAAGTGGATGTTCAAGGAAGCCAAGGGCGACGGCGAGACCAAGAACATCTTTCCCTTTCCGCTGTTTACGACATGTCTGCATATGATAGTCCAGTTCACGCTCGCGTCGCTCGTCCTATTCCTAATACCCTCCCTCCGACCGCGACACGACTCCCTTAACCCACACGCTGCCGGCTCGCGCGTAGAGCCGGTCGACCCCAAGAAGCCGCTCATGACCAAGTGGTTCTACTTCAGCAGACTCGGGCCGTGTGGTGCAGCCACTGGCATGGACATTGGCCTGGGCAACACGAGCTTGAAGTTCATCTCGTTGACATTTTTCAGTAAGGGATGACCTCTCCTTTCTGCGATTACAACTAACAGAAACAGCTATGTGCAAATCATCTGCACTCGGCTTCGTCCTCATCTTCGCCTTCCTCTTCCGCCTCGAACAGCCCTCCTGGCGACTCGTATTCATCATTCTCGTCATGACCTGCGGTGTTGTCATGATGGTAGCCGGCGAGGCTGCCTTCCACACCCTCGGCTTCATCCTCGTCATGGTCTCGGCGTGCTCGTCCGGCTTCCGCTGGTCGCTGACCCAGATTCTGCTCCTCCGCAACCCCGCGACAGCGAACCCATTTTCCTCCATCTTTTTCCTCGCCCCCGTCATGTTCATCAGCATACTCATTCTCGCGATACCCGTGGAAGGCTTCCCCGCGCTCATGGAGGGTCTTTCACAACTTTTCGAAGCCAGAGGCGCCGGCCTCGGCATTGGCATTCTTTTGTTCCCGGGCGTCCTCGCCTTCCTTATGACCGCCTCCGAGTTCGCTCTGCTGAAGCGCACTTCAGTCGTCACCCTTAGCATTTGTGGCATTTTCAAAGAGGTCGTCACGATTGGGACTGCGAACCTTGTTTTCAAGGATCCTCTTACGCCCATCAACCTGACTGGGCTTGTCGTCACGATCGGCAGCATCGCGGCATACAATTACATGAAGATCAAGAAGATGAGAGAGGAGGCGCGGATGAACGCTCATCTCCAGAACCAGGAGACGTATGCGCCGGTCAACACCGTGGATCCGTTGGAGCGCGATAGAAGAGGAAGCGTTGTCGTGCGACCAGGACAAGGCATCGTACGCAACAGTCTGCAACTTGCGCCGGGTCTGAGCGGGGCATCCGTATCTGAGAGCCCGGCGAGAGCAAGTCCGATCAAGACTGCACGGGACACTGAGTAGCATACATGTGTGTAGCAAGCAAATCATTCTGGATTTCAGCGTGTGTATTGTTGGGTATTTCATCGCACTTTTTTGTCAGCATCATCAGGCGTTCAGGACACTTGGGAAGTTTTGGAAGGCGGGTGTGCGAACGCTGCCGTGCCGTGGGATTACTATACCCTTTCCTTGAGACTGCATCTGAACCACATTCGCTATGTACTATCATATCAATATCTATTTCGTGTGTTTCAACAAACATAGTCTTAAAGAATGGTGCGCACTGTACAAACGTGAAAAGTTCAACACCCTACCTGCTAGAATTCTACGTCGTCTTGGAATTTAGGAAACTTCAGGTCTCGTCTTGATGTAGACGACAGCGCACCTGTTCAATATTGGGTTCTTCCTTGTATGGGGCGGATAATCCAAGGTAGTTGTTCGGTACTACGTGCTGTAGTGCATCTTGTAGCTTGAGATCCAAGGCGAAGATAACCAATCGACTACCGCGGAGGCATTTCGGGGATCGGCGGGACAATCTAGGACCCTTGGCCGCAGTTACCTCATGTGGCCATGCACGTCGAGAACACCTGCCACAACCACCTGGCACATCCACATCTGGCGTTGACCGTCAGACCCCCTTCTCTCCCCTCTCTCGCCGTTTACACGCCGGCACATCTGTTTCGGGCAAACGTCCGCACTTGCGAGCGTTAAGCGCTTCGTTTCGTACGACGCAGGTTTCAGAAGCCCCGAAAGTCCGGCAGTACGGTACAGTAATCAGCCTCATCGTGGCTTATTAACTCGCACTGCTTCTTGCCTCTCTACCTCCTACCTCACGCGCAATACCGCATTCGCTTTTCTTGTTCGACCGCGACCGCGACATCACGTCGCTTTACTGCCGCCTGCCATGCGGCTCCTCACCTCCCTCCTTGCGCTTCCCCTCGCGCTGTTGCCTTCGCTTGCCTTTGCGCAGGATCTCGAAGTCCAAGTCACAAGACCGGCGGAATGTACGCGCAAAACTCAGAAAGGCGACAAAGTGTCGATGATGTACAAGGGCACGCTGCAGAGCGATGGCAGCAAGTTTGACTCGAGCTACGACCGCGGCGCCCCGTTTACATTCACGATTGGCAAGGGCCAGGTGATCAAAGGTTGGGACCAGGGACTGCTGGATATGTGCATTGGAGAGGCCAGGAAGTTGGTTATTCCGCCTGGTCTGGCGTATGGGAATCACGCTATGGGTGATAAGATTCCTGCGGGATCAACGCTGGGTATGTTTGCTTTATGCGGAGAGTTTGGGTCTGGCTAATGGTGCGTGCAGTTTTTGAGACCGAGCTTATGGGCATCGACGGCGTGGAAAAGGAACCTGCGAAACCTGTTGAGCCTTCGAAGGCTGCCCCTGCCACACCGACACCGACTGGTATTACGGATGACAACGTCAACGCCAACGACGAAGAAGCTGCGCCCGAGAACGTACCCAGGCCGACATCTACACCCTCGTCTGAAGCTACTCCGGCAGAGACCAAGCCTGAGAAGACAGCAGTACCGGCCGCCGAGCCTAGCAAAGCTGTAGCCGCACACGGAAACCCGATGGATGGCGAGAGCGACAAGGGCGAGTGCAACCTCCTTGGAAACTTTGCACTGATTGTACAAGGTTTCCTTGGACTACTCGCCGTATCCTCTCTCGCAATCAAGAGGCTGAGGGAGTCTCCGCGACGGCCCATAAAGATCTGGTTCTTCGATGTTTCCAAGCAGGTCTTTGGCTCGGTTCTGTTACATCTTGCAAACGTCCTGATGTCTATGCTGTCCTCCGGCAAATTCGACGTCGCGGCGACAACCAGCGCGACGACCAAGTATGCCGGAACCAACGAGGAGGGTGACCAGCCAAACCCGTGCTCGTTCTACCTCCTCAACCTGGCCATCGACGTAAGTTCATTCCCACGAACATCTGCAATCAGCAACTAACGATACTAGACCACAATCGGCATCCCAATCCTCGTGCTCCTCCTCAAAGTCCTCCACGCCGCATTCGCCAAAACCCCGCTAGCCAACCCCCCAGAGTCCATCCGCAGCGGCAACTACGGCCAACCACCCCGCGCAACCTGGTGGCTCAAGCAATCCATAATCTACTTCCTCGGCCTCATCGGCATGAAACTCTGCGTTCTCGCCATCTTCGCCTTCCTCCCCTGGATCGCATGGGTAGGAGACTGGGCACTGCGCTGGACAGAAGGAAACACCGCACTGCAAATCACTTTCGTCATGTTCATTTTCCCGTTGATTATGAATGCGCTGCAGTACTGGATCATTGATAACTTCATCAAGGACCCTGAGCACGGTAGTGGTAGCGGTAGTGAGGGCAGGTATGGCGTTGTTGGTGAGGATGACAGCGAGGATGAGGATGATGAGGAGTGGTTGGAGCGCCAGAGACGGAGGCGTGAGGCCGGTATTGACGGTGAAGACAGTGATATCGAGGCTGCGGAGGTGGATCCGTTGAAGGAAGCCAACCCCACGATGGTACCATCAAGGAGTAAGAGTTTAAAGGCTGGAAGCGACTACGATCCCGCTGTTGATGGGGCGAGTGGTAGTTTGAAGACGAGGACGGAGTAGGGTGGTTGTACGTAGTGGTTTGCGGTGTTTGCATTATCAATAGGCTTAGTTTGTGTACTTGTCTCATAGCGGGCTTGGGGTTTTGGAATAGACGTGCATCATCTGTGCAGAAAAGCGACATTGGTATTTTGTTCGAACGTGAAGACTACATGTCTCCTACAACATCGGCTTGATCTCCGCTGCCTCCTTGAAATCCGCACCAGTCTTCGACCGCACTTCATCTACGGTCACGCCATCCGCAAGCTCAATAAGCGTCAGTCCCTCTGTAAAGTCGACATCAAACACGCACTACACAATCATTAGTCTCCAATCCAAACAACCCAAAAGGAGAAGAGGGGTACTCACCAAATCCGTAATAATCCTGCTCACACAGGCCTTACCCGTAAGCGGAAACTCGCACTGCTTAAGAATCTTGGGCCTCCCCTTCTTATCCGTATGCTCCATGGTAACAACCACCTTCGTCTTCTCCGGATTACTGACCAAATCCATCGCGCCGCCGAACCCCTTGACCTTACCGGGCAACATCCAGTTGGCCAGGTCACCCCTCGCACTCACTTGCATAGCGCCGAGAATAGTCAGATCAATCTTGCCCGCACGAATCATACCGAAACTCTCTTCGGAGCCAAAGCTAGACGCGCCAGGGAGAAGAGTAACAGTCTCCTTACCCGCGTTGATGAGGTCAGGGTCTTCGAGGCCCCTTTGCGGGTATGGACCTAGACCGAGAATACCGTTTTCGGACTGAAGTTGGACTTCTACGGAGGGGTCTACGAAGGACGGGGCGAGCATAGGCATGCCGATCCCTAGGTTGGCGTACATGCCGTTCTTGAACTCCTTCGCGGCGCGGCGCACGATGCGTTCGCGTTTCGAGGCTGCGTCGCCGGCGCCGAGGGCGGAGACGGCTTCTTTGGGGTCTTTTGCGTTGACTACTTTTTCAATCTTCTTTTCCGCGGTGGACTGGATTACGCGGTCGATGTAGATGCCGGGGACGTGGACGGCGTTGGGAGGGATCTCGCCGGGCTCGACAATGTGCTCGGCTTCTACGATAGTGGTTGTGGCGTTGCGTGCCATGGCGCCGTTGAAGTTTTGGGCGCTGAAGCGGAATTGCACGTTGCCTAGACGGTCGGCTTTGTAGGCTTTGATGAAGGCGTAGTCGCCTTTGATGCTTTCTTCCATAACGTAGCTCTTGCCTGCGAAGACTTTGACGTCGCGCGGTGTGGAGTATTGGGCTACGCTGCCGTCGCTGTTGTGCTTGAGAGCGAGTTCGCCGGTTTGCACGACGGTGCCAAAGGCCGCAGGTGTGTAGAAGGCTGGGATGCCGGCGCCGCCTGCTCTACATCGCTCGGCGAGGGTGCCTTGGGGTGTGAGTTCGAGCTCTAGCTCGCCGGTGAGGTACATCTGCTCGAGCACTTTGTTCTCGCCTACGTAGCTGGCGATCATCTTCTTGACTTGCTTGCTTTCGAGCAGTAGGCCCAGGCCCCCTCCAACGATGCCGGCATTGTTGGATACGGCGGTCAGGCCGGTGATGTGTGGTGTGCTCTTTACTTGGTGGATGAGCGTGTCTGGGACGCCTGAAAGACCGAAGCCTCCGCATAGCAGCGTACTGTCAGAGGCCATGTCTTCGATAGCCGCCGCGGCACTCGGGTAGACCTTGTTGATCTCATTGCGGCGGAGAGACGAGGAGAAGGAGCGCGACAGGTTGAGGTATGTCTGTCGATGTCAGTAGCTGCCGAGAATCGATTGGAGAAGGTTGAATGACTTTTGTTGTGCTTCGCGAGAAGGTGCGCGCAGTGCGCAGTGTAAGGGATATTGACGGCATGCTTGGCTGGGCTTTGCGCAAGTATACAAACTTCCAGACTTTCAAACGCTCAACTCACAGACGGTGGAGGTGTAGATAACAAATCACTGTGGGGAGAATTGGAGCGCTCCCGGATATCTGTATACCCAAGCATCGTCGCAGCCTCGGGAAGCTCTAGTATGGGTTGCGTCGGCATCTTGACGCGGGAGGGCGGAACAGCGCCGACGCGGAATGTGGAGGAAAATCGAGGGCCTGGAGTGGGGAGTAGTCAGGTACTGCGTGGTGATTGGGTGGGTTGTGGCTACTCAGGGCAGGCGCGGACTTGTTTTCCTTCGTCGCTAGGTAGCTCCGGAACGTCAGACATCGATGAGCAAGCACGCAAGGTCGTGAGTCTTTCTTCATTCACACCCACCCACAAAAGTCACTCGTACCTTGACACACCCACGTCAACCAAGGAAAAAACTGAACAGGCCTGTGGCCTACATCAACTTGAACCCCTACAAAATAGGTGACCTGGCGTCGATGTAGGCTCTAGACCTGTTCAGTTTTTTTCTGGTATGAGGTGCACCTAGTGGAGATATGCCTCATCCTACCTTCTGTAGATCTTTCCGACGGTCTACTGGCGCTGAACTGGATCGATAGCGCGTCTACCTGTACAGGTAACATGAACATGACGAGACGCACACGAGAGAGCAAAACCCAAGGAGTTGAGGAGCTACACCCAGCTTTCGTCAGCAGCGCATGTGTTACATGCATTCAGAGAGGCAGGGTATTGCGCTCGCTCGAATGACAACCCTCTAGCATACGTTTTCTAGACTATTCTTCTTGTTGTTTCGTCGTTTCATCGTTGCTTCAAATAAGCCCTCCATTCGCGACTCTTCTCGTCATCTAACGGGTGTTGTTCATTATGGCGCTTCTGTCAGCCATCCTGGCTCGAAGAACACCCAAATCGCACAAATTCTACTCTCATGTCGCGTGACAACAAAGATAGACCTAAGAAAGCAGCAAGACATAGCAGTGTAGAGAATTACGCACTCCACAGTCCTAGTTTCGCAGAATTCTCGCTAACACGTGCCCATAGCGATGTGGGAGAATCTGAAAGCGATGATTCTGCATCGGATTGGAACCCCAACACGGAACTTTCCTCGAGTATATGGGATAAGCGGGCCGAAGCCCCACAGAAGAAGACGAGACATGGGAGGCTGAAGACGCAACAAGCAATTTTGCCCATCGGTTCAGTCACACCGACACCAGAGGAAGAGGGTTTCACAAATACATGTCTAGAGCTCCTTAAGCAACCCTCTATCAGCCCCATCTCACCTCACTCCAATGCGGAAGTCAGCTATGACGATCTCGGCAAACATACGAGTTTAGACTACGTACACACGCTTCCAGTCCCAGAACAAGGGGAGGAGATACCGGCCCATGACCCAGCACATGCTTGTGGTGATCAAAAACCTCTCAAGAACCTTAACGCAGGAAAAGAGAACCCGGACCATGAACCAACACATGCCCGCAATGACCAAGATCCCTCCGAGAATCTCCCCCCAGAAAAGGAGAAACACCTCCAAAACCTCGCCTTCGACGAGCTAGTCGAAGTGCTCCAGATCCCAAACCCGCAACACTCTACTCTTTCCAAGCTCCAGCTATATGTAAACAATATATACACGCCCAAGACGTACGAAAGAATGAAGATGGCATTAGGCCCTGCCTTTAGCAAGGCTTACAAAGCGATGCAGCTATGGCACGAAATTCACGGAAAGCTAAGAGAATTTAGAGAGACTACTAAGTATGAGGGCAAGGCTGGTGCGGACTGGCAGGCTTATAAACAGGCTTTGAGATCGGTTTCTTAGAAGGATTCTTTGCCGGCTATGACTGCGCATCGTTAGCTGGGACTGTTTGTGGATAAGTCTAAGAAGCGCGGAGAGTGGTTCGCGGATAGCGCGGTTTTTGCGGACTGTCTCGCCCGCTTCTATGCTACACTGCTGCAGCCACCGAATATATCTGCGGAGGATCTTGTTGGTGGGTTTGAGGAGTATAATGTTGAGCTGCTCAAGTGGTTCGAGGTTGGTGGATGATGGGAAAGAAGACATTGTGGGTAAGCGCGCGGAAAAGTTATGCGGGCTCGGATAGGATACGGGACGGAAGGGAGATCTGATGGTACACCAGCCCATGTTCATGACTCTTACGTACATGTAGAGTGTCGATTCATAGCGAAACGCTGTCACAAAAGGAGTCAGTTCGGTATCTGTCAACACCAGTCACTTTCTACATCACTCCAAGTCATCGTCGAAGACTCATGGCGGGAAGAGTAACTATATTTCAACTTTCTCGCTGCTTTCAACTTCCTCCACACACCATTTCCCCTCAAATCTACTTCTACATGCAAAACACTGCACTCTTCGCTATCAACATCTATCTACACTACGCTGACGATCAAATACTCATAGCCCAATACTATTCGTCCTCCACACCAAACCGCCACGATGATTTTGGGACTCGACCACTTCACCTTCAACGAAATCTGCTTCTCAGTCATGATAGCATCCTATTTCCTCGTGAACTTGATCAACCTCAGCAATGCGACGCCTATGGGATCGGGCTCGGCGATCGAAGGAACGATGGCTATGAGTTCAGCGTTCGAAGCGATATCCTCCATGGCACCAGCTGGCGTACTTCCTGGTGTTCCTTCTGGTAGCGCGTCTCATGTGGTGACTGCGCTGGCCGGATCGGGTCAGGCTGCGGGTGGATCGCCGACTGCTACCAAAGCCGCACCCCAACCTCACGAAACTCTCGACTACGGCCCTGTGAATACGCCGGATACGGGCTGCGAATACGGTAATGCCATCGTCGTGAACAAGTGTTCCGTTCCCGTCAATATCAACACCATCGGCGGATTCCGACTTAACGGAAGCAACACGACCTATAGCACACCAGAAGAGCAAGTCGTATACCCCATCGCTCCTGGCGAGACGTACAGCGAAGGCTTCCGTAGCACGTGGGTATCCCCCGATCCGGACAACGTCAAAGGTAACAACCCAGACACCGACAAACTATGGGGTCAAGGAATCTCAATCAAGATATCCTGGGCAGACAAACCTGGCAATAAAGACACCACACAATTCGAATACGCCCTTACCTACAACCCCAAAGCTCCACAAACATACCCTCTACTCTGGTATGACGTCTCGCTTTTGGATTGCGGTCAACCGGCTAAGCACAACGGCACCGATTTCACTGCTACGGATGCGGACTACAAGGCCAAGACGGATCAGTGTCCCGGGTACCAGGGCGGACTGACTTTGAAGTTCGAGCCTGAGGCGGGTATCAAGAATACGTGTCCGAAAATTGATTGCGAAGGGGAGTGTCGCGATATTTACAACTTCGACAGGACGAGAGAGCATGAGCCGACGAAACAGTGTTGGGGTGAGTTCAAGGGGAACATGATCTTGAGCCTGTGTGCTGGAAGTGGTGAGGGCACTGCCAATACTCGCAGAGGTCTTGGAAAAGACGAGGATGTTCAAAGCGCTGGAAGTGTCTAGATCAATGTGGTGTGCGGTCGTTTCATTGATGGTTGTTGAATGAGCGGTGATGTCTTGTCGGTGTGTTTGAGGCTTGCTGGAAATGTAGTACTAGATGTATTTGTCATTCGCTTGGCCTTTTTACCCGCTTACCTTCCGGTGACGCAAAAGTGAATTCGATTAGATCGTATGGTAGCTGGCCCTTTGATTTGGGAGATATTGTCTATGGCGAGTGTTGTCGTTAATGTTCGCGTACTGGTGCAGGAAATGGCGAGACACTTCCACGTGGTCTGTGCTGCAAGGTTAAATCCGATGCTGGTGCGCAGGCAGATGGTATTTGTAAATTCCTAGATGATCCTTCGGATGCCATTAAATATGCGAAACAGCTCATTCTTCAGTAATAATCTTAGTTCTTCTTGAGAGATGTGGTTACAGATCTCGCACGGATAGGCTACGCGCGGCTCAAACGTTCGTGCTCGCGTCATTGGGGTGGCGATCATCACGATCTGATCGGCGATTGCGTACCGTGGTTGTTCCATAGGTAAAGCTCCGCGGACCCTGGATAACGGTTCGCACAAAGATCATCCTCACCTCACCGAAGACGGCTGTGGCGTCTCGATATTGGGATTGTCTGTAGATCTGCGTTGGGTAGTAATGGGCAATGTAAGGTACCCGTTCGAAGACCTCTGGATGGTGATTGGTAGGGGTAGTCGTTCCGAGCGTCGGAACGGAAGCGCGGTAAGTCGCGGATGAAGATAGATTGCGAGTACAGGGCTGCAAGCAGGCATTATCTGATCTCACGATACCTCTGCCGAGGGTGACGCGGGCATGGCGGTGGGTACCTGTCAGCCGTGGTGTTCGCACGTGAGGCAGGTACCCGCCAGCTGACGGGTAGAGATTGTTAAAGTTTGGAGCGCAGCGTGTCTCGCATGGCAGCTGCTCGACACATTGTTACCACGCACGTTGTCTTGGGATTCCGCCCCGCCGCATTTGACAGGAGCTAGAAGAATGGAAGCGCCAAAGCCGCTGAGGCTTCCTAGTGTACTCTGGTATACTGCAAGATCCAGCCGCATGGTCCGCCCTCCAGCACAATGACACCACAAGTGGCTCCATGGGCTACTTGTAGGCAGGCGCAGATTCGGGCCGAGACGCGACAGGACGGCCAAATTTGCGGGATAGCGTATTCAACACGTTGATCGAGAGAGGGACAGCAGCGTCGCTAGTGAGGCTCTTGAGTAGTGTAGAGAACGGTGGTGCGTCGAGCGTCTCTCAGGCTTCCGGAAGGAAAGCTGCTGGCGCTAGCCGGTTCGGGACGGCATGGGAAACCGTCTTGGAAATGTGCAGGGGTACCCATCCAATGGGGAAACGTGGCATCCCGTTGGCCATCGCTAAAATAGTAGTTGACGCCATGTAGAGCGCCCCAAGAGCGGTCGACGGGGATGGGTGGTGAAGGCAGGATCACGATGTAGAGACAGCGAAGAGGGAGAATGCGGTGCGGTGAGTACGGGCTGTGGAGGTTGGGCGTCGCTGGAGGTTTCCAGATCGGCATAGGCGCGGCTGGAGTATCGAGAAACCCTGATGACGTCGCTGGCCGTGATCTAGCGGCTCGCAGCCAACAGTCAATTTCGTCCAAGCGGGCGGCTGGAATGAGACAGGAGCAAGACGGTCCCTCGCGCCAATACACATCATTTACGCGATCCACGATCCATCCAAACTGCTTTTGTCCAGCGCGTGCAGTGCGCGGCCTCGACGTTTCTGTAAGTGTATGCGGGCGTGTGTTGAAGCCCACGGGCGCGAGGCTATCCTGCTCCTGATCCTGGCATGAGCCCACCACCTGATTCTTACTCACCAAGCACTCCCAGCTTGTCTCTGCGCTCCGGTGGGATTCGGTCTCTGCTGGCAGTCTGACAGTGCGAAACCACTGGTGGCCATTAAGTCGTGTTGTTGACCTGTCCATGTGCTGAGGCCGCTTCACCGTCCATTCTTGCCAGGAGCACACTCCGCGACGTCATAGCTCACCATCCCATCTATGCCCGCCGTTGCCTCGACCCCATCACGACACCACTTGCGCGTTACGTGGGAGACTGGGGAATGCAATAATGACAAAGGCCCCGTCACCCTCTCCTAATCCCAAGAGAGAGACTGCGCCGCCACCCACGACGCGCCCGCCACTGCAGAGACTGGCCGCCAGCGACGCGAAGACATATCAGTCGCAAACCTCGCAGCCCTCGCCCGGAACCCGGAACCCGAGCAGACCCCGCGACGATGCCGCCACCGACAGCGAACTGAGCGAGGCAGAGAGCCAGCCGGGCGACGAGGACGAAGGCGCTGGTGCCGACGAGCTGGCCGCGGAAGAAGCGCCACTGAGCGAGGCCTCGCCCGACGAGATGGAGGTGGAGCGGCTGCGCGGCCTGCAGCTGAAGATGCTGCAGCAACAGCAGCGGGCGCGCATGCGGAGCTCGTCCAACAATTCCGCTGTCGCGCTGGGCTCTCGCCGCATATCGCCCATCAAGGAGGAACCCATGCCCGGCATCTCGCCCACCCTCGAGGGCGCCTTTATCAGTCCAACCCCGAGCCCGAACCCGCCGCTCCCTACGGGCCTCACCACGTCGACCGAATCGACCGAGTCTGCGAGGACCATTCGCGGCAGCATGCCACCGACGCCCGCCGCCACCCATGCCGTTCGAACGCCATCCTACCCCTTCCCTTCAGTCCCAAACACGCCACGATGGGCCTCGGCATTCCACATGCCCTTCACCAGCCTGTCGCCCACGGTAGCAGCGGGGCAGTCGCGAGAGTACGCGACCCCGCAAGAGCGCATCTCCTCCGAGAGCAGCACCCCCGCCGCATCAAGCACGCCCTTCGCCCCCGGAGGAAGAAACTACCAGAGCCCGGATGCAGAAGACCCGCGATTCCCGAGTCCCAATCTTTACGACATCGTACTGCGTCTGGGCGCCGAGCCCGGCCTTGCTGCTTGGTGGACGGCGGTAACGTCCATCATGCGCGACCACTATGGAGCGGAAAGAGCCACCTTGGCAGTACCAGCGGATGCGTCTGATATCGAGAACGTGCCATGGGGCCAGAAGACTAGTTTTACTGCCATGGGCAACGAGGGAAGCCCGCATGCAGCCACCTACCAGGAAGCAGCAAGCCATTTCCAGTCGGAAGAGAACCCAAGCTCACGCGACTATGAACATGCCGACATGCCTCCTTCCACCACGATCCCGGAACGCAGACCAAAGCTATTCTCGCATCACTCCTTCGCGGGCCACGAACGCCAGAAGTCCAGCGCCGGTCCAGATACGCCCACACCGGCGTCGCTCAACCGGCCA